ACAAGCACCTTGACCACAAAGACATTCAATTATGTCAAATAACAAGTCACCAACAAAAATGTAACCACAGCTTTTTTTAAAATAAGCATGTCTAGTAACCTAACACTGTGCAGCATTATCCCAAAGCCTTATTACCTCAAGGTCACTCCAGCTCCATAACCCGAGCTGAGGAAGGGATTTCCTGGTATACACTGAGTTGTTGGCTTTTTGTTATATGAAAATTTTTTTGACAATTTCATATTATGAGTGCTGTATTTATATCATTTCCTTCCTTCCCCTCTTCCCTCCAACTTCTGTGTCCCTCCACTCTTATTCTTTTTTTTTTTTTTCCTTTTCTCTGTTTTTAGATAGGGTCTCATTATGTAGACCAAGCTGACCTTGAACTCAGAGATCCTCCTGTCTCTGCCTCCAAAGTGCTGGGACAAAGGCATGTACCACACCCCCAGCTTATTCATTAATTATTACTGTTACATGTATACATATAAATGTATAAATGTAACCTGTTGACACGCTTTCGTGTTGCTCCTATGTGTGTTAGCACTGACACCTGAGATCTGATAATCTATTGGGCTCCTGCCTGGAAAAGACTTCCTCTCTCAGCAACCATTAATTACCTGTAGTTCTTCCTAGTGAAATTTTCCTCATTCACATTGGCACGTTAACTGTCATTTTTCAGGTCTTACTTAAGCAAAACCACACTGTTAAGTTTTCATGGACACAGCTTCCTGTCATCCACAGAAGACCCTGTCTCACAGCAGCTATCCTGGTCCTCTGCCTCTGCCCTCTCTTCTGTGGTGTCCCCTGGGCCTTAGTTTTAAGGGTTGTGTCTTAGGTGAGGAGAAAACTCCTTCCCAAGAACCCTCTAGGAGATATTTGCTTACATCTCAAGTTCAAGGGCTAGGACTGGATCACGAGGCTTCTCCTCACTTCACTGGAAACCATAAATGTGAGATATCACTGCTTGCCTTAGACAAGTTACAAGGTGAGGGTGGGACCCAGAATTAAGAAGTCAGGGCAGAGTGGCTGCCATTTTCCTTAGGGAGCCCCTTCAAGGTTCACAGGAAGGGACTGGGACCCACAGACCTTAAATTCCTCATCCTAAGCCACAAAAGTCTTCAAGGACCCCAGCCATGCCTAGTAAAGCCACTTCACCTGGGGGGGTGAGGGTGTCTCCATTATGTCCAGTTCTGTGACTCCACAGGGCATGAGCATTAGCCCAAAACTTGGCCAGATGTATGGACAAGGTCAAGGCCCTTCAAATGGATTCCTCCAGTGCAGCTCACTGGGCCTGCCTACAAAGCCCATGGTAGGGAAAAGCACTTTGAGGTATTCACCAGAGCCTGGCAAGCAGGCTAGTGAGAACCCACTGCCCAGCAATCTGGTGCCTAGTCAAACCTCCTCATTACCCAGAGCTGAACCCATGCTTCTGGAGAGGTCAAGCATTGCGTGGGAATCAAGATTTCACTAGACTCAGTACAGGTTAAGTGAAGTTTATTCAGGGAGAATGCACTTACACAAGAGGCAGGTTCCAGCTCCAAGGATCCACCCAGGTTGTTCTCTGTGAGCCAACCAGAAGCAAGAGAGCACGCTGGGGTCAGGGACCCCAGATCTAGTCCTCCCTCCGTCATGTCCGCACCTGTGACCACCCCAAACAAGCGTGGTCAGTGCTACAGGTATGGACGGGGTGGATATCCCACTACCGTCAAGCTTCCGTCTACCCAGAGTCTGTGTGCTGCCTCTGGCTCAGCTCTGATACCAGCAAAGGAAGCATCCAGGCTAGGAGTGTGTGAAGAGAAAAACACAGCACAAACAGCAGCTCCACGCCCACCCAGCCCACCACAGTCTTCTGTCCAGCCAGCCAAACACACTTCAGAAGAGAGCCAAGATGATGCCCATGGCCACTTGCCTTCTTGCCTCTGATGGATGAGTATATTTTATGGAAAAAAGCAAAAAACTTTCACACTGGTTATTTTTATCTGCTGTGTTCAGATTCTTGGAGGGTCAACAACACGCAGTTTACCTTCATGGGAGATACTGGAATATGTCTGTTGTCAGTTCCACTGCCTCACAGAGAAGGGGCTGCAGAAATCATAGCTAAACTAAGGCCCATGTTCGGTGACAAAAAAAAAAGTAAATGTTTATTTAGCCCAGACCTGGAGCAACCACTCACTCTGGAGTTTCCAACGTCGATAAAAAGCAAAAACTCCCTTTGTATGGAAGCCACGTGTGCACCTAAGGACATCTAAAAGCCTCCATGGACTTACTTTCTGGGTCAAACACCTACTTAACACTTGAGAGTGAGAGGGAATGGCAGTGGGAAGCAGCAGCACATGTAGTTGTGCCCCAGGATACACCTCTGACTTCAGGCTGCAAGAACTAGACAAAGCATTTGATCTCATTCATGTAAACATCTTATTCTTGGGCTGTCAAAACAGCTCAGCAGGTAAAAGCACTTGCCATGCAGCCTGACAGTCAAGGTTCAGTCCCACACAAAGGTGATGAGACCCCCACACACACTCCTGAAAATTGTCCTCTGACCTCCATACTCATACTGCTGTGTAACGTACTCTCTCTCTCTCCTCTCTCTCTCTCTCTCTCTCTCTCTCTCTCTCTCTCTCTCTCTCTCTCTCTCTCTCTCTCTCTCTCTCTCTCTCTCTCTCTCTCTCTCTCTCTCTCTCTCTCTGTGTGTGTGTGTGTGTGTGTGTGTGTGTGAGAGAGAGAGAGAGAGAGAGAGAGGGGCACACACACGCACAGAGGGTGGGGGGAGAGTGAACACACAAAAACACAAAGAAGTCTTTTAAGTTTTATTCTCACTCAACCACAAGAACTAAGATGCCTGTAGAAGAAAATGGCCTGTTTCTTGTTTTCCTCCCTACTCCAGCCTGACCCAGAGGAAACTGACACAGTAACCAGGTTTGAACTTTGCTTGCTGAAGTGTTTCTCAGAATAGGACTCTCCTCCTTCCAAGCTTGAAAACTTTGCATACATTGAAAGTATGCAGACGGCATAGACACGTATACAGAGTGGAATTTTCCATTTATAGAATAATAATCTTAATACCACTCCGGGGGCAACCGTGCTTGTGGTAAGGACTCAAGTTCAGTGTCAGCAAACCTGCCAGGCTTCTGTGGGAGACCCACAGCACTCAAAGCTCTTCTGTTTATTTTTGGTGGGAGACAGGGAGGAAATAAAGGGTGACTTTGAACCTGAGTGCCAGCAAAAAAACTTTAAAAAGGAGTTACATTGCCAAGTGCAGAGTGTTCCTGCCTGGCTTCAGGTCTCTACCAAACGCTGGAAGCTAGGGCATGAGAAAGAACATGAAACACATATCATCAAACCCTAACTTGACAGTTGACCACAACAGATGTCCCTTTCTCTCTTTTTTTTTGTTTTGTTTCATTTTTCAAGACAGGGTTTCTCTGTGTAACAGCTCTGGCTAGCCTGGAACTTGCTTTGTAGACCAGACTGGCCTCGAACCCAGAGATCCACCTGCCTCTGCCTCCCAAATGCTGGGATTAAAGGCATATACCACCCCTGTCCAGCTCAGGTGTCCCATTCTTGACTGATCCAGACCCTATACTTCCATTGTGCTCTGTACTGCTCTCTGCAGGCAGGGGCTCAACTCACTTCTTCACAGCTAGCCACTGATGCTAACACCAACTTAGCCTGAAATTCCTTCTGGGCTGTGGTGTTTGGGGAGGTCATTTGGTCAGGAGTAATGAGGGCCAGAGTCCTAATTCTGACTGTTACATAGTCACTGTTTGACCTTCAAGAACTCATCTCTTCTTGGGGTCTCTTTTCTTCATCCATAAAGACTAGACTGGATGATCCCAAAAATTCCTCTCATGACTGGCCTGTTTCACTCACACATTCACACATTCAATTCAACATTAATCCAAGCCAGAAGCAAGTTCTGAGCATCCTGCGCCAGGTACAGAAAGTCATGTGACGGACCCAAAGAAAGCAGATAGCATTAGGGATCCTATCTGCTTACTTCCATGGACACCGGTGCGGGGAGGGAAAAACAAAACCAGCTCTCCTACCTGCCTAGCTAACAAAGAGAAAGTGTTTTCTGTTTCTCGTCCTAGGTCCTTGTGGCATTTTCGAAGATTCAAGTTATTTTTTGAGGTTGTTGATGTTTGCATTTTAAGATGTCTTTTCCAGAGAAAGGCAAGACTACCTCTTTCTCTCCTAATAAGTCCTTTATTCTCCAGGGTTTTGCCAAAAAGAGAAAATGTTACTCGTTTCAAAGAATCGAGCATGCTGTTTTTCAAGTAGTACAGACTCTAGATTTCAATATAAGCCCCCCAGAAGATGAGCTTTAAGCAAACAGGCCCGTAGAAAGAATTTCTGGCCCAGTCCTCACTACCACCTAAGTAAACAGCTTACCGTCCCCAGTTTTCTGAACACCTGTTGGACCTGCTATGATTCTCCACCATTTACTATGGTGAGCTTCTTCCCTGAGCCTCAAAGTTTGTAGGAGGATTTCACTCTTTGGAAAGAGCTCCGGAGCGCTGTGCCAACCAAAATCATGGGGTCTCTAGCTGGGCTTTGATGGGAGATAGCGCCTAGCTTTGCCTCCCACAGCTTTTCTTGCTGACGACGTTGAAAGGCAAAGGGAAACGATGATTTCAGACCGTAACCCCCGGTCCAGCCAACGCTGCAGGTGGATACTTGCATCTCCGTAGCTCCATTGCGACCTGAGCCCAGGGATCCTCACTACCACGAAGAGGAAAAACCAAGTTGGGTCGCGAGTTGCAGTCCCCACGCTCTGGCGAAGGCTGACCCCAGCCACCGCCCCTCCCGGGCCCTCTCTGCCCAGCACCCCTCCCCCGCCCCCCAACACCGCCGCCCGCCCTCTCCCTGGCTGCCACCAATCAGCGTCCGGAGCGGCGCTCGCGGAGTCAGGTCGGCAGCCATTGAGCGCCAGGGCCCGAGGCGGCGCCTCACCCGCCCCCTCGCAGGATGCCAGGCGCCCCGCAGCTGGCGAGGTGGGCGCAGCGCGCGGGGCGCGGGAGGCGCGCGGGGCTGGAGAGGAGCGCGCGCCCGCCTCCGCTCCGCCTCCGTCCGGGGGCGCGGGCACGGTGGCCCCGGCGGAGGATCGCAGGGGGCAGGGCCGAGACTGCGAGGAGGGGCACCGGGAAAGCGGGAGCGATAAAAGGAGGCAAGGCTGCCCCACCCCGAGGCAGGCCGGTGGGCAGGCTCTTGCGTCCCTTCCGTCCGGCCTGTGCCGGCGGCGGCGGCGGCGGCGGCGGGGAGGCGCGCAGCCCGCTGCCGGCCCATGGAGGCTTTCCCTTGGGCGCCACGCTCGCCCCGCCGCGCCCGCGCCCCCGCGCCTATGGCGCTCGTGCCCAGCGCCCGCTACATGAGCGCCCCGGGCCCGGTGCACCCGCAGCCCTTCAGCTCCTGGAACGACTACCTGGGGCTAGCCACGCTCATCACCAGGGCTGGAGACCGCGGTTCCCCGCCCTCCTCATCCCACTGCTCCTCGCACGAAGGGTCGGTACCCTTGGCGGTGGGGCCCACGTTGGGGCCGCCCGACGACGAGGACGACGACGATGGCGATGAGCCGGGGGCCCGGGACCGCTACCTGGGCGGCGCGCTGGAACTGCGCGCTCTAGAGCTGTGCGCCGGCACTGCCGAGGCCGGGCTGCTGGAGGAGCGCTTCGCCGAGCTGAACCCGTTCGCAGGGCGCGCCGCCGCGGTGCTGCTGAGCTGCGCGCCCGCCGCCTCCGCCGCCCCCGCCGTCCCCACGGCCGAGATGACGCCGCGCGAGGAGCCGGGCCCTGCGTGGGCGGCCGAGCCTCGTCTACATGCAGCCTCCGGGGCGACCGCTGCACGTCTGCTGAAACCGGAGCTGCAGGTGTGTGTGTTCTGCCGTAACAACAAGGAGGCGGTCGCGCTCTACACCACACACATCCTCAAGGGCCCCGACGGCCGAGTGCTGTGCCCGGTCCTGCGCCGCTACACGTGTCCCCTGTGCGGTGCCAGCGGCGACAACGCACACACCATCAAGTATTGCCCGCTCTCCAAAGTGCCACCGACCGCTGCCCGCCCGCCTCCACGCAGCACCAGGGACAGCCTGCCCAGCAAGAAGCTACGCTAGGACCAGCCTGCGGACACCTGAAGTCATGGTCGCGTCTCCTTTCCCCGGTGGCTTAACTTGGGAAGTGGTCTTGGTTTTGCTGAAGCCGGCAGGGCGCAGCACTTTTCAGTGGAGTGGTCGGGTCTCTGACGTTGAAATCTTGAATTTTGTCTTAAAGTGCGCATCCAGAACCGTGAGATCTGAGCTGGTATGCCATCGGCTTTAAGTGTGGCGACTAAGGCGGTGTTTACTGTATACATCGGCCTGTTTTAAGTGCGCAATCAGTATGAAATTGATTTTGGATGTTTTCGTTTTATGAATGGAGGCACTTTATTAGGTCTAGAGTATTTTTCATAGCCTCTGAACTTGAGTGTGTAAAACTAAGCATTTTATGGAATGTCGGCAAATGTCTATTTTATTGTTTGATGCAATTTATTAATTTAAATTTGTCCTTACTCTAATTGCAGGTAAAGCAATCTAGTATACTTCCCAGTATTACTTTGAGAGGGTGTTCCTCCTCGTGGCTTGTTTCTGTCCTAGCTGGGAGGCTTAAAGGCACAATCTGTAGTAGGTAGACTAGTTCCTTAACCTTTTATGTATCAGATATTCTACCGAATTAGCAAGTAGCCCTTCCCACTCTTAAAATTAACTGTGCCAAGTCCTAATCATATCGTGTACATATTTGGAAATGGTGCTGTTTAAGAGACTTGTGTATTTATACGGTGACAGTATATGAATACATTAATCTCCCCTGTAACTCTTACTTAGCATTTTCTCTATGCACCACCCCCTAACGTGTCCAATTGTTTATGTCTAATGCTAAGACCAGAAAGGAGGAAACCCGAGAGAGCAGTGTTAATTCACCTTTGATTGCTCAATTTCAGGCTTCCTAAATAGAAAATGAGAAACTGAAGCAATAACCTGAGTTCCAGAAGGTTCTGGACTGCTGCCTTCAGATATAACAGTTGTGCCAAAATAAACACCATTTAAAGGCTCTAATAATCGGGGTTGGGTACAAGTAACATGACCTTGCTGGTGATGGTTCCACTCCTACTGGTCTGCTTCCAGACCCTAATCTTAAGACAAAAGTTCCTAATCCCCTACTTCAGTACTCCAGTACATCCATCACATTGAATGCTGGATGAAGTATGGTACATAACTACCTACCATCAAGGTGAATTAAGATAAACACTAACACCACTATCTGAAAATACCAGCCTAACCCTGAGTTTAAGTGTATAAAACTTACAGTAATTAGATTTAGCTAGAGTACTGAGAGTTAGACTGCCTTTCATATTAAACAGCTAACTTCCATAACAAACTGGATTTCCATGTAACAGAGTGACGTAAAAATACTGGATAGCTAGTGTGCCCTATTGGTTAAGAGGGAGGTGCATCATACATACCCCTGGTTAGTTATAGCCCCACAGAACTGCAGATTCCACTCAGCCTAGGCCTAAACCAAGTAATAAAACCATCTAGTTCCTAGTTCCTTGTCCTTTTGCTAGAAAATAAACCATTTGTTGTGGGGTGAAGTTTTTCAAGTGAACATAAATTCACGTTCTCTCCCCCTAATTGGTCTAAATTTTCCAAGTGAGCAATCTCAAAGGCAAAAAATCAAGTCATTTGGCTCTTTGAATTGTGGTAGTTTTGAGGCATGTGTGTGGTGCCAGTACTTTTTAATACATGAGCTGAACCACTGATGACAGGAACCTAATGCTTTTATTTTCTGACATCTTATCAGAACCAGGGATGTTAAGATTTGCATTCCTGTTCAGTGGTATTAAGGGGCATCCAAAAAATGTCCTCATATTAAGCACCCATAATATTAACAGTTGGGGAGATAGCTACCAATAAAGTGCTTCTAGGAAGCACCAAGACCTGGGTTGTAGCCCCAGCATCCACATAAAAATATGGGAATGGTGGTATGCCTATAATCCCAGTGTTGGTGAGGCAGAGGCCAACCTTGCTAAATGGGTGAGCTTCAGGTCTGAGTGAAAAACCCTCTCAAGTTAGGTGAGCTCATGACATCTGAGGCCAACCTCCACGTAAATGCACATCATCTGCAGTTAGAGGTGAGTTTTTTAAGTCAAAGGTGGCTGGTGGCTATGGTCTCAACCTGCCTGGGGCTCACTGGCCAGGCTGTCTAGCTCCCAGTTTGGAGAACTCCAAACTCAATGTTTGAACCAAACAAAAGAAGTGGAATGTGATTGAGGGCACCTGTTGACCTCTGGCCTCCATGTACTTGCACAAAGAACATGTACACACAAAACGCAACCCATAGCATATGTTCTCTACCCTATACTAAGTCCATTTACCAGCTAACATATTGAAAGTCTACAACATAAATATTACTGGTTTTCCACTGTTAACAAATTCTAGAGCAAACAAACTCAGCCCTTAAGAAATATAAACCCTTGGAACCAGACATTGTGTGTTCAATTAATCCCAGCATTCCTGAGGCAGAGGAAGGCTAAGTAATCCTTGGAATGCAATGTTAACATTTAGGTTCTACAAAAATGTTTACAGTAGAGAGCCAACTTTATAGCTCAGGGGTAGAGCACTTGTCTAGAATGCACAAAACCCTAAGATCAATATTCATTATTAAAGGGAAGAAAATGAAATTTAAAACCCAAAGTTTAATACAAAACTGTGACAAGGTTGGCTTGTAAGAATGCATTGTGTATCTTGCTAAACCACAAAAGGTACAGCCCTGTAGCAGCTTCTCCATGGGCAGAGGTACAGGCAGTGTTATGCTTTAGCCTGTCTGTCCAAACTTGTTAATTCTGTTTTTTTACTTTTGTGTACTTTTTTTTCCTGCAAAATCCTTTTCAGAAGTTAATAGCTTTTATTAGAACTTTTGTCAGATCTATTAAACCAAAACCATGTATTTCAAAACTATCAGAAATGTATTTCAGGTTAATTTTGTTGTCTAAGCCTCTTGGTGAGAACATTCCCTCCAGTGTCTCATAGTTAGCTCTATTATAACTTAGCCCACAATGTCTTTGGGAAAAAAACAGAACACATGGAGATACAGTTTTTGAGCCTGGGTCTCACCAGACATAGCTGACCTGGAAAATCCAGTATCCTTCCACCTTACCCAACAAAGTTCTGAGATTACTTGCCATGTGGTGCTGGTGGTTCTTGACTATATCCCACAAGTAGGTTCCAACCCATTCCAGGTTGGCATTGTATGAGCAAGTGTGATACAGATCTGAGTGTAGTGTCTTTCCTTCCTGTACAGCTATAGAAGCTTTAAGTTCCACTGTTTACAACTACAATAGCCACAGGCTCACCTGGAGATTTATCAGCTTTCCTTTAACCTGTCTGATGTATGGAGAATGTGGTGATAGTGGGATTCCATGGGCTGGACCCACAAAGCAACAGCATCAGTTACTTCTGCCCTACCCTGTTCTCTGTGTTTGGGGGGGGGGGAGAGTGGGAGTGGGATATGGGATGGGATATGACCGGACACAACACGGGACAGGACAGGAGACCGGACTGAAAATGTCTGGAGACCCAGCTGAGCTGCAAAGGTAGGTGTTTGCAGGATAACCTTGAAACCTGCCCCCCCCCCACACACATATAGGTGCAACTCCCCTATATGTAGCTGATTAAAAGAATCACTTGCTAAGGATTACCTGTGGCATCATATTACTGTCTGGCTCACTAGTAAAAGCATACATAGCAGGTGACTGCCTCAAATATAACCAATGGACTATAAGTATTTTTATTTGTTACGACTGCGTTAAGTCCTTCCACGTCTGAAATTCAGTCCTTAGTGACACCATTCAAAAGCACCTGATAGGTAGAAAAGCATCAGCACTCCCTCTTCTGGCCTGATGACTGTTAACAGTAGAAAATTTTAAACTACCTATACCCACTAAAAGTTTGTCACAAAAATCCACTGCAAGTCTGTTGCGGGTTTTTTGTTTGTTTGTTTGTTTCTTCTTCCGAATTCCAGATGAAACCCAATGACAAGAGCACTTCAAACTTTCTGGCTGTTACCATTTGCTTGTCTTGTTACTATTAGGTCATTCTGAACAGCACTAAACCTCAACTGAATACACAGAATATATCATTAACAAATCAACACTAACACCAATTATGTAAGTATTTTATTTATCACTGAAGAAAAAACACAGCAGCAAGTTCTGTGTTGGCTTCAATAAAACCAAATGGTTACTCTTTAACACAGCTACTACACTCCAAAATTGAAGTCAACACAGTCATCACTACAAATTACGCGTTGAAATAATCTATCCTGAAGAAAGAAAATTAGGAAAAAGAATTTAAACAATTCCTCCAAACCACACATTTATAAATATTGTCATATTTAAAAGGCTTGAAAGGCATGGATTAGTTTGAAAGCAGTCTTCTTTTGGCAACAGAAAAAAGAAACAGCAACAGTTTACCAAATGCTCTAGGAATCCAGAGCTGTACTGTTCTGGATCTGCGCTTGAGCAGTGTTGTCATGATGACTACAAAATGCTTTATACTCACCTCTCTCAAGTAAAGTCTACAGAAAACCCCTTTGCAACCAGTGTTTGCCATGTCTACTACACTGGTCAGAAGCTATAAACTGTCTAAGTGTAGTTAATAGTAAATACCTAAGAAGGTATGTTCCCACTAATGATGGGAAAGCTGTCAGACTCATTGGCTTAAAGGGTTTTCAAATATTTTAACAGAACCTTACCTTATTCCAAATTAATCTGATATTCCAAAATAAAAAAAAAAAATCATTTGTATACCAAGATATAGGTGTTAACACCTGAAGGGTTCATTTTTATTTTTTAGTTTTTTTTTTTTAAACAAATGATTGATGAAATAATGCAACACCTTAAATTCCGGAAAATGGAATGGTTTTTCAACCTCCTGTGAATACAGTGCATGATCAATCTATTATATATGATTAATACAAGTTCATGCTTTTTGAGTTATGGTGAGACAACATTAAAGAATTCAATTTAGACTGGGTGAAGCACAAGTATAATAATCCTTGAATGTGGTCAAACCTATGTAGACACAAGTTTGACTCCACCATTGCTGGGGCTCAACGTCGTACTGTGGTCCATCCGTCTTCATCAGTTTCATTCTTAGTACGACGAAGGGACTCCCTATCTTTCTCAGCTCTCCAGGATGCCTTCTCTTTCTCACCTTCTCGTTCTCTCTCTCTATCTCTTGAAAGAGCTGGGGGAGGAACACGACGAGGTAGATCCCGTTCTTCAGTCCGGTCATCTTTCCTGTCATCAGCTCGTCTCCAAGAGCTTGCTAGAAAAGTTAAAAAAAATTTTTTTAATGTTAAGCTTGAATTATTTTGATTCAAAATAAACAAGTCAAACTAAAGAAATGCTTGCTTTAAACTACTGAGAAAATGAACAATTCAGAATCCTACTAAAAGTCCACATTTTAATTACTTTGTGTCAATTAAGGTATGAACTTGCAGCCATATTAAAAAATTGGAAGCAAACAGAAATCCTTGGCCATGGAAATAGATTAATAGTTATAAACCAAACACAAGTTAAAAAAGTCAGAACATATCAAGTAGGAAGCATTTATGGCTCTTGAATTTTACCAAATGAGTCATAAGATGTGAAATTTTAAGTTATGGTTTTAATACTCTTCTGATCCTGCCAAGCAAACTGTTAAAAGCATATAAGGAAAGCACTTAAGTACAATGGACAGTTTAACCTCACTAGAAGTACTTTAAAAAAATTTTTTTGTGTTGCCAGGTGGTAGTGGCCCTTGCCTTTAATCCCAGTACTTGGGAGGCAGATAAATCTGAATTTTGAGATCAGTCCAGATTACAGAGTGAGTTTTGGGACAGCCAGGGCTATACAGAGAGACCCTGTCTTAAAAAATTCAAAAGTAAATATAATTAGGATTGTTTATGTGTTATATTTATGGATGTGAGGTAGTGGAGGTCAGTAAACAACTTTCAGGGAGTGAGTTCTTTTTCTACCATGTGGGTCCCCAGCACTGAAATCAAGATGCCAAGCAAGAAAGAATCTTTACTCACCGAGTCATCTCACCATCCCTGAATTATCTCCACATTTACACTATTGTGTTCACACATTAGGAACTTAACTAATGAATACTGTTTCTCCATTTTCATTGTTTCTGCTACTTTATCATTTAGTCTATTGCTATACTTGCCTTGCATGAGGTTACATCACAACCTCGTAATTAAGCACACTGAATTTACTCTTATTTTCAATATTCACATAAATCTAAAAGATTATTATATACGGTCCGAACCCTGCCACAAAACTATTGCCCAACATTCCAACAACTAAAATGTCTATATACCTTCTTCACGCTCTGATCTGAGGGGAGGTCCTCTCCGTTCTCTATCATCTCTTAAATCCCTTCTTTCTCTCAGGTCTCTTAGATCACGACGATCATCTCTTTCCCGACGACGGTCATCCCTGTCTCTATCATCACGGCGACTTGAATCTCTCCAGCTTGAAGACTCTTCTGCTGGTCCTCTTCTCCAGCCACCTTCATCCCTGTAACCATTTAAAGTAACAAGTTCAGTTACTGATAAGACTACATGGGCAATTGTAAGCAGCACACCAGCCTGGTGGTGGTGGTACACACCAGTCTGAGGTAAGCCTGATCTACAGAGTGAATTCCAGGACAGCCAGGACTTCACAGAGAAACCCTGTCTCAAAAAACAACAAAATAAAAAGGGGAATGGGGGCGACAACACACCAAATCCAGTTTATTAATCTGAGTTTAAACTCATGGCACCTCAATCTCAATCTGGTATCTCAGGCATAGAGCAACAAGGCACCTAGACCATATCACTTGTAGCTACTTAACTAAAGATCCTACAATAGCACAACCCATATTCCAAGACCATGAAACTGCTGGCTGCCATGCTGGACAGAACACAAAGAACTTTTACCACCAGATTTGCTAATATGGTAAAGGGAACAAGCCAGACTTTTAGCACTAATAAAAACTGACTATAAATTTCAGCATAGGAGGATTGGATAAAAATTGAACTTCAGGTCATCCTGAGCAACATAGAAAGATGTTATCTTCTCAAAAACAAACAAAGGCTAATTTAAAGACAATTAAGTTGATTCATTACTCTAAGAAAACAGGATTGGTAGACACCTGGACAGGTTCCTTTACCAGTTATACAACCTTCAGCAGCCAATAGGCTAAGCCCACCCCCGTGTTCTCACTTTCTAGATATTTTGGGGGGACCTGGAGGGCTAACCAGCCATACTCGATATGTATCTAAATGGTTGAGTAAGGACAGAACATTACTTCTCAAAAGTGATTTGGAATGCACAACAGAGTGTAAGAGAAGCCCATTATAAGTAGGTCCTTCCAACCTGGGTCTTCTGAAGCGATCCTCCCGGTCTCCATCTCTGTCTCGGTCTCTGTCTCTTTCAGGGTCCTTGTCCTCCTCTCGATCTTGACTGTCTCTATCCCTCTCTTTGTCTCTATCCCAATCACGTTCTTCAGATGGTCTTGACTCTCGAGGTGGACCCCAACTCTCTTCTCTAGCCTTTTCTTTCTCTCTCCATCCACCTATTTTATAAAAAGAATTTTATTTTTAACAGATTAGCAATTTTATTTGTTTGGTGCTGGGAATTTAACACAAAGCCTCATGAATGCTACGCAAGTGCTCTATCAACTAAGCTCATCTCCAGCCTTTATGAAGATATCTTAGCATTAATTCATCATCCTAAACAAATGGAAGATACCCAGATTCCAATAAGAAAATTAAACAAACAAACAAAACCCAAGTATTTCCTTACATGGTTGGTCATTTCTGAATTATGTAGCTATAGGAAACGGTCGGGATTAATGTTTCATAAGAGATTATCAATTAATTTTTATGTACATTGCCAATATAAAAATCTGTTCTAATTTTACTATAGACTACTCAGTCAAGTAGAAAACTTCAGAGTCTCCTGGGAATGACCACCCCAATTATGAATTTATACTCTATAAGATTTTATCAATGACTCTTCCCTATTCCTGTTCTGTGTCATCACCCCACCATTCAGTCATAAAACAAGGATAAATGTTTTGATTCTCCCCAGTTTCACATGAAGCAGGAAGAAGCCAAACAAGCTAAGTTCTCACTGGTGTATTATAGCTACCATTGTACCTGACTTTCATATCAACAAGTGCCAAATTAGACTTAAATACCATTTATATTTACTTGTTTAATCCTTGCCATAATTAAGTCAATCCTAATTATTGTCAGATACTTGAAACCCCCCTCCCCAAGACAAGGTCTCCCTATGTAGCCCTGGCTGTCCTAGAACTTGCTATGGAGACAGAACTTGCTGGCCTTGAACACACAAAGAGATCCTCCTGTTCAGTTGCAAATATTTTTAATACCAAATTAATACTTGTTGCAATTTTGCAATCAGTAAGTTCAGAAAGAATAAAGCTGTCTCCTGACATGTGATGCCAGCTCAAGTTGGTAGCACTCTGCCTCCCAGAATTGGCTTTTGAAACTATAAAAAGTATCCCATTAAAGGACTGTGTATTTAGTACTGTGATCTTTGCTTGTTACTTCACTATTCAACTGACCCAGGCACAGACTGAAGTACTATGTCTAAACTTAAGAGGAAAACACAAGTTAGACAAACTACCATGAATTCACTGTTGCAAATCAGAGATCACTGTAGCTTTGAGAAAGTGACTTAAACAGAAACACATCAAGAGACAAATAGCAGAATAAATAGAAAGGCACCTAAGCTTGTATTTCTTCTCAGATTCCTCATAATCCTCTGGCAACTTTATAGGATGTAACCACAAATGACTAAGAAGCCCATTTTATACAAGGAATGGAAGTCATTTGTCCTAAGGTCACATAGTTGAACAGTGGAATATGGCCAAGACCAAAAAAGAAATCACAACTAGTAAAAGCAAAAAAAGGTGTAATTAGATCTGAACTCAGGAAGGATTATTGTGGGTACTGCAAAAAAGAAATGAATAGCAGAAACCAGTTTGCAGGGTAAAAGTTCACAGCAGACTCAATTACAATCATGGGGAACACTAAAGTGGGTGGATTTAAGAACCATCAAAAGGCAGACTTAGGGGTTGGAGAGGTGTCTCAGTGGTTAACAGCACATACTGCTCTTGTAGTTCAATTCCCTATGTCCATGTCAGGTGGCTCTAATTGCCTTCACTCTCTCCAGGAGATCTGGTGCCTCTGGCCTCCACTTAAACCTGCATTCACATGTACATACTCATAGATACCCACATATAAGTATGCACATACATGTAATTTTAAAATGAAGCTTTTAAAAAAAAACTAAACTAAATGATGCACATGTAATTTTAAAATAATGGAGCTTTAAAACAAAGAAGTGAACTAAATGACAGACTTAACGCAGGCTAAAACAGAAAGCAGAGAACTCCTAACAGAACAGGTGTTTATTTTGAAAGGAGGAAACAGATAAGTTTAAGTGTCAAGTGAGCACTCTCAGAGAACAAAAATGAGATCCTGAGTAGGATCCTATGGGTGGACAGTTTGTGTAAACAAATGTTTAATAATAATTTTCATTTAAAAGTCACTGCACAGGCACTCAAGGAAAAAAGACCTACATTAAAAAAATAAGAATATATATAGTACAACTGTCATTTAGCCCTACAATTTCATTTTTTGTACAGGATTTCTAAATATTAAATCTCACCTGGTTTGACGAATGGTCTCCAAGGACCAGGTCTTGCATCATCACCCCGTCTGGCAATCCTATCGTCATCCATATTTCTCCAAGGCCCCCGGTCATCATCTGCACCTCGCCTGGGAATCCTATCATCATCAGCATTCCTCCAAGGTCCTCGATCATCATCCAAACCTCGCCTGGGACCCCGGTCATCATCAGCATTACGCCAGGATGACCGCTCATCATCAGCACCTCCTCGTCTCGGCCCCCGGTCCTCATCCATCCCACGTCTAGGCCCTCTGTCCTCATCTGCTGTACGCCAGCTTCCTCTGTCATCATCTAGTCCCCGTCGGGGTGGTCTGTCATCTTCCAGTCCCCGTCGGGGTGGTCTGTCGTCATCCAGTCCCCGTCGGGGTGGTCTGTCATCATCCAGTCCCCGTCGGGGTGGTCTGTCATCTTCCAGTCCCCGTCGGGGTGGTCTGTCATCTTCCAGTCCCCGTCGGGGTGGTCTGTCGTCATCCAGTCCCCGTCGGGGTGGTCTGTCGTCATCCAGTCCCCGTCGGGGTGGTCTGTCATCATCCGTGTGACGCCAGCTTCCTCTATCATCATCACCAATTCGCCTGGGAGGCCTGTCGTCATCTGTATTACGCCAGGAAGGACGGTCATCATCTGTTCCTCTACGAGAAAATCTATCTTCATCCGGACCACGTCTAGGCCCTCTGTCATCATCCAGACCACGCCTGGGAATGCGATCATCATCTGGTCTAAGAGAAGATTCTCTCTCTTCATCATCCCCCAAGCGTCTTAGCCGATCTTCATCTCTCCTGTGAGGTCTCTCATCATCCCGAGTCTCTCCTCGTCTCCACTCCCTAAAGAGTAACAAGTTACAAGCTTTAAAAGCAAAATTTTCAGAAAGCATATGGATCCTTGATTTCACTCATTCTTACAAATCACTAAATCTAAATTCAGTCAGTGCCATCCTTTAAAAATGTTTTCCAAGCCAGGCGTTGGTGGCGCATACCTTTAATCCCAGCATTCAGGAGGCAGAGGCAGGCGGATCTCTGTGAGTTCGAGGCCGGGCTGGCCCGACAGCCTCCAAAACAATACAGAGAAACCCTGCCTTGTAAAACAAAACAACAAAAAAAAAGGTTTTCAAATAAAAATTATACAAAATCCTTGCCAGGTGTTGGTGGTGCACGCCTTTAATGCCAGCGCTAGGGAGGCAGGTGGGGATCTCTGTGAGTTCAAGGCCAGCCTGGTCTACAGAGCAAAGAGTCCAGAACAGCTTCCTGTCTCAAAAACCAATTTTAAAAAAATCTAGTACCTTAAGAATAACAAGCAGACAACAGCCTACAATTATCTGGTTCCTTCCTGAGAACACTTGCAAAGTTCTTTATCTTTTACAACAAGCTTTTCTCTAAACAATTTCTGCATAAAAATGCACTATTACTACCACTAGTTAACAACCATAACAACCAAAAAACTTATTACAACTTTATCTCCAGTACTACAAAAAAATTTTTAAATTATAAAATAAATGTTCAACCATTAGAAAAAATGTTATGGACAGGGTTTGTTTTTGCTCTTTTGGGGGATGGGGTGTTTCCTCTGTATAGCCCTAGAAGTCCTGAACTCACTCTGTAGGCCAAGCTAGCCTCAACTTCGCCTGCCTGTCTCCCGAGTACTGAGATAAAAAGTGAGCCACCACAACACTGCTCTTTTAAACTCAATGTTGTTGGAATCTGACAGATATATTTCTCAAGATTCGTACGGGTCAGTCATCAGAGCAATGCTGAAGAGGGGTGGCCTATAAAAAAAAGTCTCATTAACAGTTAAAAACCAGGTATGGTGGCACAAGCTTTTAAATACAACACTTGGGAAGTGGAGATAAGATTGGGAGTTCAGGTTCACCTTAAAGCTACACAGGACCATGATCTTGGCTCAAATAATAGGTTCTATAATTCAAATCTGATTTTAAAACCTAAATACCAGGACCCAAGACTAAACACATTGTTCCCATGATTCCACTTACTTCTCTGGGGGGCCTCTTCTCCACTCAGAGTCAACTTCTGGCCCTTTTCTCCATGTGCCTTCTGAATCTCTATCTCCCCACCGAGAGTCCTGCACCCACAAAGCAGAGGCATCACTGTAATAAAAGTTATGATTCCAACCACTACTAGAGTTATCTATCACTCAAGCATTCCATTCTCTCCTTAAACCTCAAGGTCCTAAAATAAAAGTCTCTGGTTGAAGGAAGGTGCACAACTCTAACCTCTTCACTTGGAGGCAGAGGAATAGAATCAGAAATTTTTTAAAAGACAGCCTTGGCTGTGTGTAAGAACTGTCTTACCACAAAATAAAAAAACTAGGGACTGGAAAGAGCTCAGTGGTTAAGTATGTGTACTGCTCTTCCAGAGGGTTAGAGTTCAGTTCCCAGCAAAAGATGCCTCACAAATTTATCAGTAACTCTAGTTCCAGTGAATCCAACGACTCGGTGAGCACCTGCACTCATGTGCACATACCCACAGGCACATAATTAAAAATAACCATTTAAAAAATTGGAAAAAATAATCAACAACCAGGCAGTGTTTAAGGGGCAAAGCAGTAACTCAAAGTGTCTGAAACACAAGTTGACAGCCGAAACTGGTGAAAAGTGATCGCCAAGTATGATTGCCTTTGGCTCTCAGTAATGAGTATGAACCAAAGGGAGCTGAGACAGAAGAACAGATTTAAGGGTCACATATGCTGCCATTATGAAAACTAAAATAGGTCTAGAATATGATTATGATTGGGAGACAGTTAAGGAATCAGAAATGACATACAGGTTCATTAAAATGAACTATAACAGACCACAATTAGAAGAATTCAATAGATGAAAGAAATAAGTCAGTTTTGTATACAAGCAATATCACCTAGGCTCCTGATTGTATTACACTGCACATTCTGAATGAGGTTGAGAGGAACCTAATTACCTCTCCCAAACGACAGAGATATTATGAACCCGAAAAGATCTTTGTATTTAAGTAATCAAGAGAATGTGAAGTAGTTAATCAAGCCACAATATTACAAAAGAAAATTCATCAGTGAATCTACATGTAATTAAAACAGAATAAATACACAGACCTGGGAAGACAGATCAATACTATGTGACTTGGCCAGATGAAGAGTTCAGATTCTCCCTCCAGTACTAAAGAAAAATCAAAAGAATAACTTCTGTACTCACCTTCCTAGAAAGTGGATCATCACCAAGTCTCCTCTCCTCCTCTCTGCGTCGTTCTCTTTCTTCAATTTCCAGCTCCCTCTGACGTTTTTTTCTTTCTACTTCTTCCAGTTTCTTGACTCTCTCCTGATACTCTCTAAGTTCTTCCTCCCGTTTTGCTCTCTCAGCACGCTCTCTTTCTTCTCGCTCTATGAAATTGTCAAGTTACTGCAATGTGCTTCCCACCCACACTGGTATAATGTAGTACATGTAAAGGCAAATTTTTAAAAGGCAGACCAGGAGACAGCTCAGTGGTTGAGAGCACTGACTGATCTTCCAGAGGACCTGGGTTCAATTCCCAGCACCCACATGGCAGCTCACAACTGTCTGCAACTCTAGGATCCAACAACCTCACACAGACATACACGTAGACAGAACACTATTGCCCATAAAATAAAAATAAATTAAAAAAAAAAGACAGGCCAGAGATGGCTCAGACTGCTCTTCCAGAGAACCCGGGTTCAATTCCCAGAACACACATGGCAGCTCATAGCTGTAACTCCAGGATCTTATATCCTCACAGACAATACAAACAGGCAAAACACCAATGCACATAAAATAAGTAAATAAAAAGCTTTAAAAGATAAGCATATTAAAACAAGCCAGTTGACAATGGCACACAACTTTAATCCCATCACTTGGGAGGCAGAGACAGGCAGATCTCTTGAGTATGAGGCCAGCCTGGCCTACACAGTGAGTTCCAAGACAGCTAGTGATACACAGAAAAACCCCATCTTGAAAAAACAAAACAAAACAAGCCAGGCATTGGTGGCATACGCCTTTTATCCCAGCACTTGGGAGGCAGAAGCAGGCAGATCTCTGGAGTTGAGACAAGCCTGGTCTACCAAGCAGGTTCCAGGACAGCCTCCAAAACAATACAGAGAAACCCTGGCCCGGGGGGGGGGAAAAAACAGGATACTATAACAACAGGGAAAAAAAGTATAAAATTTTAAGTGTTTGGCTATAGGTTGATAGAGGTATCAGCACCTAAACATAATGCATTAAGCTAGCTTTATTATCAAAAGACCAGTTATACAGATTGCTTTGTTTTCTAAATAAGATTGTAACACTAACACTTTCCATGCGACTTATATAAATGGTTACCTTTTAGCATCTGTTCTTCTGCCCTCCTCTGCTCTTCCTCTTCCTTTTCTCTGTAGTAGGTTACTTTACGTTCTTCTTTTCGCTGCCTTTTCCGTTCTTCCAGACGATTATGCCTTTCTTCTGCTAACCGTTCTTCAAACTGTTTCAGTTTTTCCTGTGAATTGAACAGTTATATCCTCCCAAAGTCAATTTTGTTCAAAATATAAACCAGGAATACTTTTACACTTGTAAACTCACAATATCTGAAAGCCATAGAAAGTGGCCACCAATAAATACAAAAGCAGACTCTCTTAATGGGTAGAGAAATTTTGTCAGTGTGTTTCTAAAATACTGAATTACACAATGAATCTACAGTGACTTTCACATTGAATCTACACACTAGAACTGAGAGAGCAAGTTACTTTGCCTGGCTGTCTGAAGTTCTACTCCCTACCTCAAAACAAAACAAACCCCTATAGTCACATTTTATTTGTAATAGTAATAAAAAAATGACTAAGAACTTTAACAAAACATCTTTGATTTAGTTCTTTTGGAGACAGGGTCTCTCTCCAGAATCATGATTGCCTTGGAACTCACTATGTAGACCAAATGGGTCTCCAACTCAGAGATCTGCCTGCCTCTGCCTCCCCAAGTGCTAGGATTAAAAGTGTACACCACCATGTCCAATCCTGATCTAGTTCATTTCTGTATCAAATAGTAAATATACAACTTAAAAGCACACATGAATTTGGATTAAATGGTGTGTCACAAAATCCCATCCCCTTCAAGATAGGTCAGTGAGTGTTAAGTCACACACAGCAAGACAAACTAACCTGACCCCATCCCAAAAACCCACACCTCAAATGAGAAAATACAACTTTCATCTTTGAAACGTTTTTTTGAGGTGATTAAAATATCTCCTGACTCTTCCTACTGAAATATTGAATAATTATCTGTTTCACTTTAACTCAAGACAGATTCTGCCAATGTGTTAAGGGAGGATCCCCCTCAAAAGAAGAATATAAAAATAAAACCCAAAATCCCTAAAAGCTCACAAATTTACTTTCCCTTAAGCACAGGAACCTCACCTCATAGACAGACTGCCGGGCAGCTTTGAGTCGCATCACAAATAGATCTCTGTCTTCCAACATTCGTGACATTCGATTCTTATGTTCCAGAGCCTTTTCCCGCTCTAGCTGCATTGTGGTTATCTGAAAGTATATACAGTACAAGGTTAATCTCCAAGGCATTTGTTTTCCTAATTTACCCCAAAAAGATCCTAATAGACATTCTTTAAAACTGAGAAGTTGCTCCTTCCCCATTCTATCTTGTGATTTATCTTTTCTAAAATAGGAATAACTGACAACACAAGGTCTATAAATCTCCAGATAATAAACTCTGGGGCTGCAGGCTCCCACACAGATGCCCTTTATCTTGTTTATCTGCACACAAGGCTGAGACTTACATTTTCATATTAAATCTCTATTGTGAACATTTCTCTTGCCACCAAGCTATTAAATAAGCAGCTGTTAACCAAAATTTCTAGTAAACTATTTAAAAACTATCACTGGCATGCTTGTAACTTAGTTTACAGTAAATGATACCACAATGAAAAGCTTACTCTTTCTTCTTCTTGTTGTTCCCACAGGTCCATGTCTTTAATCCTTTGTTCCTCATAAGCACTCTTTATCAAAGGAATTTCCTCCAAACGCTTAGCTCTTTCAAAATAGTCGATCTGAATGGTACAAAAACAAATGCCATTTTACAAAATAACTTTTGTTTTATTGCATTTTAGAGGTAGAGTTTCTCTATGTAGCCCTGGCTATCTTAGAACCAGGCTAGCCTCAAATTCAGAGATCTGCCTGCTCATGCCTCCCAAGTGCAAAGATTAAAGGTGTGTACTACCTCCACAGTCCAGCCAAAATAACTCTATTTAACTTATGTGAAAAGAATAGCAATCCCACTAGGCAAGACAATCCGTTTGAGGCCAACATGGAGACCTTTTATTAAAAAATTAGCAAGAAAAAAAATCCATCCTTTCATTTACCTTCTTTTCTTGATTTTTCAGGCGTTCCTGAAGTTCCTTCTTTTCTTTCTCCAGTTGTTCAACCTGTTTGGCCATGATAAAATCTGGATCTAGTTCTTCAAGGTCCTAATGGCAACACAAAGGCAGAATGGTCATCACAAACATTTTAGTAAATATTTGAGAAAGGATTTCTCTCTATAACCCTGGCTGTCCTAGGAATTCACTATGTAGACCAGGCTGGCCTTGAACTCACATAGATCCACCTGACTCTGCCTCCCAAGTGCTGCAATCAAAAGACAGTGCCACAACTCCTGGCTACAAATATTTTTAAAGATTAATTTTAGTTATGGGGAAGGGTATATGTGCACTGAAGTACAGGTACTTGAGTGTCTGATCCAGCTGAAGCTGGAAGAAGGAAGGGGTTGCGAACCACCTATGTGGGTGCTGGGAACTGAACTTAGGTCCTCTGAAGAAAAAGCAGTGCATGCTCTTAACCACGGAGCCATCTCTCCAGGTCACAAATTAAAGACAAGTAAGGTTAACTTTCATGTGAGCTCACTGCTTCCTAGAACCAAATCCTATATTTCCTTAAATAGGTATTCAATGAGAAAACTTCATTATTAGCCAAATGGGAGCTCAAGAGTAAAGAAGCTCCTGATGGCTGGTGTGCTACGTACTTCAATGTCGATATCTTTGAATGCTTTGGCACCTAGCTCCGTCTTCTTGATCTGCTCTAACCGCTCCCGAACGGTTTTCTTTTTGATCTGCTCATGTTCCTGAAGGATTCGTTCCTTCTCCCGCTCCTTTGCCTCCTGGCGCAGCCTCTCTTCTTCAGCCTTCCGTACTTTCTGAAGCTCTGCTTCCCTCTGCTCCAGTTCTTCTTTCTCACGCTGGATATTCAGACTCTCAAGACGCTCTTTCCTTTCCTCAATCGTCTGTCGACGAGCCAGAATCCGCTGATGTTCTTTTCTTGAATTTTTAAGATACGCAGTAACTGCCAACTGATGCTGTTCTTCTTTCTCTTGCTTCAAAAACAATTGCATTTTAAAATGATTATAAATATACCTGGCATGAGTCTAGAAAAATTAATTGTGAAACGCTAGGTTTCCACAAATAATGTGCAACTTAGTAACAGACAATGTTCTAGTACCCAGTACTGTGGCACTACAGCTATTCAGTCTCTAACTAGCAATGACACAAGCTAAAATGCTATTTGACAATCTATTATTATTCCAAGGACCAAATCTATTGGGGTCAAGCCAACAATAACTTAGCAAGAATTCAATCACCTCAACAACTGTTTTGGGTATATGCTTGATATATGCAGTCTGCTGTCTTATGTAACAATATCCATTATTACCCACTGAAAGGCATTTCAATGACTTACTCGTCTTGACAAAACAATCTTAACAACTAGTGAACAGGAAATCATGAAGTCTTTTCCACGGATTTCATCTCAAACAATATTATGAAAGATAAAAGTCCCTCAAAACTTTTGTGGCTCATATCCCCCTAAAGGCACATACCAGAATGTGAGCAGGCTTGATGACTTCAAGTGCTTTTGCAAGCACTGAGGACATAGCTGTGAGTTGATTTCTTATTTGTTCTGATGGCATGCTTTGCAGATGAGGGCCAATTGGGGCATCTTCTCGAGTTGCGTAATTCAAGTCTGATCCAAAACTCAGAGTCCGAGAAGTATGATCAATACGAACCTTAGAAAATTAAATTATCAGTAACCAAGTCGACAACTGCATTTGAGAAGGAAATTATCAATCCAAAGTTAATAGAAAAGTATGAGAATTTGCTCAATAGAGTTTTTAAAAGGTTACCATTGTACCAAAAGCAGAGAAACTAAAGATTTCTGTCTTTCTACTTCCCAAAGACCTTCTAACCTGCCACCAGTGCCCACTTATAGCACATACCTGCAGGTCACAGTGCCTGGCTGCATCTACTATGGCCCGTTCCAGTTGGAAAGCATCAACAAAAGGAACCAGAGAAGTCAAACGAGAAAATTCAATGCTCTGATAAATCTGTGCCACCTGCACAAAAAAACACAGGGTTAATAATAACAGCTACTATTTAGTCACATTTTTATGTGCAATTTCATGGCAGCTAGAGGAAGCAGAAATTATGCTCACTGTTCAGAAAGGGAAAAAAAAACAAAGTTCATATAAATCAGCATAGCAATAGATTATTGGAACTGGAGTTTCAATTCAAGGGCCCAAATTATGTTATATTATGTATAACCATCTTTTGAATTCCATTTCATAAATCAAAAACCTAAATGTCTACATATTTATAAAGGCCTACTATTTACTTAATACAAATACTTCCAATCTTTTTTTTTTTGTCTGAAGGAGACTGGCAGCATTACTATATACAGTTACTCTGCTAATTAGCCTTCAAGTATTTATATAGCACATAAGAAATAACACTGCTCACATATTCAAAGAAAGCAGGTCAATGAAATGTGCAAACACATCATTAACACTCCCTCACCAAATGAAAATAGGAAAACTCAGCGGCAGGCACAGTGATGAACACCTTTAATCTCAGCACTTGGAACACAAAAGTAGGCCAATCTCTGTTAGTTCAAGGTCAGCCTGGTCTACATAGCGAGTTCCATAGTAGCCAGAGCAAATAGCGAGACCCTATGGGGGGGGGGTGAAAAGGTCAACCTAACACAACACCTAAGGAAAACTGAGTATTTAGCAAAGAAAGAAAAGTATGGGAGGAAGTACAGTTAAGTCATTGACTCTTTCAAAATCACAAATTGGGAAATTTGGACAGTAGTGGAAACTGGGATGGCTTTCTCTTAGAGTAACTATAATTGTTTTTCCATTTGTCATCAAAATAAAGAGTAAAGGGGCAAGGAAAGACTCCTAGAGCCAGGCAGTCTAGCTATTTGTGAGGTTCAGGATCAGTGACAATCTCAAAATACAAGATTGAACAACAGATTAACAGGAAAGATAGCTGATGTCTACCTCTGGCATCCACTTACTTGTACACTCATGCACGCACACGCACGCACACACACACGCACGCACACACACACACACACACACACACACACACACACACACACACACACACACACACAAATATTTGCTACAGTGATACAGAGTCAAGGGCAGAAATCTCAAGTTTCTCCATAAAGCATTTGCTTGTATTTTACCTGTTGCAGAAGGCGGAGTATGGTATTGTTCTGTAGTTGTGGTACATATTGTTGCAATTCTGGTTCCTTTTCAGGTTGTTCCCTAACCCAATTTAATACCTATAAAACCAATTAAATTGAGAAAAAAATAGTTTATATGTAGCAAACAGTTCACATTCTTTCAACTTCTTTATATACAAAACAGCATGTAATATAAAGACACGAAATTCATCTACAACACTATCAATGCTTATCTGAAGGTGACTGACAGCAGTGGCAAAAGTAGTCATGCTGCTAATTACCTCCAAAGGTTTATTTAGCACATCAGAAATATCTTTTTTCTTGATGTGAAGAAAAAAGACAAGCAAATGTGCACGTCTTAACAAACAGGGGAACAGTTCTTTATTAGAGAAATAAAATGCTCAACTGCAGCAAAGCCTGCCCATGCCGAGGCTTACCTTTGTGACTCTCTCACAGAGTTTTAGTGGGTTGAATTCTACCTCCAGCCAGTTGTAAAGGTCTTTCACTTCTGGGACAACATACTGTAGCACATTGAATCTGACCTATAAGAAAGGCAAAAAGTTTAACTGCTAAAGGAAATATTCTAGCAGAGATTCTGGACTACAAATTAAAATTAGAAAAGTATCTGACCTCAGTTCCCTATAAATTTACTAAATACTATTAATTATTCCATATTGTTTCTAGCTATAATTAACCCTCCCCCCCAAAAAACTTGAAAAGAGAACCTATAAGGTAACATACAAAATTTACAAAGACAATTACAAGGGACAGCACAAATTACATACCCAAAAATGTGAAATAACAGCTTTAAAAAATGGGGGTGTGCACTGACATAGGGTTTTCTCTGTGTAGCTATTGTCTTCTCTATGGCGGTCTACACACTCTATAAACCAGGCTGGCCTTGAACTCAAGGATCCACCTGCTTCTGCCTCCCAACTGGTGGGATTAAAGAAGTGTACCACCACAGCCTGGCAACAAATTATTCTTATATGAAGCATCAAAAAAATTACCAGGACAGCTCTACTCTCCTCAGGATCAAATTTGGAAAACTCAGTATCCATTAACATAACAGTGTTATACTCATTTAACAGCACTGGCCCCCTGTATCATCAGGTCCCACATACACACTCGGCCAGTCATATTTAGATAATATTCAAGAAAAAAAGTACATCTGTCTGAAATGCTTTTTTAATCACCTAAACATGGCATAAATATAAATAATTTGAAGATTATTTCAATCTAACATGGGGTTATGCATAGATTATGTGCAAAAAGAACCACTACCCTATTTCAGCTTATCAGTGGGTTCTGATGTCCACTGGGATCTGAACCAATGTTCTGAACCAGTATCATGCAGACACTTTCAGGTATAACTGGAAACCATACCTAACTCATCACATACCCTGAAGCACTGCTTTAATGAGTCTCCTCAAATGAACAAGATATCCATTTCATCAGTGGTACCTTGTCCACACAGAGCCTGACAATGAATTTTTTTTTTGGTTTATTCGAGACAGGGTTTCTCTGTGGCTTTGGAGGCTGTCCTGGAACTCGCTTGGTAGTCCAGGCTAGTCTCGAACTCACAGAGATCCGCCTGCCTCTGCCTCCCGAGTGCTGGGGATTAAAGGCATGCGCCACCAACACCCGGCCTGACAATGAATCTTAATTTCCAGTATTTAATCATGAATTACAACTTACCACAAAGTTTTCTCTCCAAGGCAATAAATACTCAAACGTATACTAACCATATCATTAATAAGGCCGATTCGTGTGGGTGGGGCTTGAAGACCTAGCAGTGTTGCAAGGCGTCGCTGCTTCTCAACTATAATACCATCCATGTCCAAGAGTCGAGCAATGTCAGTTCGCTCAGGAGTAATAGGTATGGAAAGAGTCGCCAAAAGGACTCTAGTAGACATTCTGTGGCGAACAAAGTTTTATTTGTTAAATTATAAATATGCTTCTTTTAATTATCTATTGTATGTCATACTAATTATTCCAGCACAGCATTAGACAACTGAACCTTGAGGAAGTAAATCCTTGTAAACTCAATCTCATATCAACACACTAAATGTGGCCCAACAGCAGTAAAGACAAACATCCTTACCAAAAGAATTAAAGGTAGCTTTGGAAACTAAGAAAATGGACTTTAAGTAAACACAATTATGACAGAAAATGAGAGGATAGAAAAAAAACTATTTGTTTTTACTTTCCTGAAACACAAGAAAGTCTACACTTTAGAATGCTAAGTAGCAAAGTCTTCATAACATATACAGGAGAAAATGACCTGATGCTATCCTATAATATTACAAGTACTAACTTCCTTAAGGAAAACCATTTGGCTGATTTCGTATTCTTCCGCAACACTAAGAAAAACAGATACATATAAAAAAGCCTGTTTACTAACAGGGAAAAAAAGATGACATGTGAATTGCCTAGTTTGTGCAAGGCAATGGATTCAACTTCTAGCTTGACAAAAATAATAAAAAAAGAAAGCAAATGAAAAGAAACACACTAAATATGATTGGGTCTGTGTGGATTCTTCTTGTGGTAAGGGATCTTGCTAGGTAGTTTAAGCTAGCCTAGTGTTGAACATTTGATCCTCTTCTTAGCCCATGTGCTAAGAGGTACGTGCCACTACATTCAACCTATACTTTGATTTTTAATACTCTGCAAATTACACACAAATAGTCTCCATTTTATGACTCACGTGTTAGGAAACATGAAGTTTTAACCCATATTTTTTACCATGGTACAAAAGAATTCATCATTTCCCAAACTAGTGACATAAAGTATTGTATTCTTAGGATGCAGCAGCAATGAATGATCCACAGCTCCTTATCATCCATGCAATCCTAAGAGTAAACAGACCTCCTGCCTCTCCTAGTATACTACCCAGTATTGATAGGTCAGTGTAATACATCATTACTTAACACATTTTCAACTTACAGTAGGTTTACTAAGATACAACCTAACACAAGTCAAGTGTTACTTGACTAGTTACTGTTTTATAATCAAGGAAAAAGAAAAGAGCTTGATGGAATTATCTAATTATCCAACTGCTCTAAGAATAGAATATACCAATGCATGGATAGGTTCACATGTTAACATCACCTCTGTGAATACACATTTTCTCAATTGGGTTTCCAGTGGCAGCTTTTTTGGGGCCTGAAGAAGTAGAAGATGGCTTAAAAATACTCTCCAAGGAGAGCAATGTCTCAGAGACACTTGGTAGTCACAATCAGAGATTGCTCCTGACCCTAAGGAGTAGAGTCTAGGGATACTAGACATTCTACCAATACACAACAGTATTAGCCAATCCAAAATGTCCATCCAGGAGCTGATACCATGCTTAGACCACACTACCACTGAAGTTTAATTTCACTGCCATTCAACTCTAACACTCTTACCTTTGCATCTCATCTTGTGTAAGATTTTTTCTCATTTCCCTAGACAGATGATAAAGACGATGAAGAGTAGATGCATGAAACAGAGCATTTCCAGATTTCCAAAACACTGTTGAGACTTTGTTGTAGTAATTTGCCATCAACTGAGGCTTTGGTGGTTTTTTAGACAAGGAAAATAGCCCATGAATATCTTCCACAGCTTTGAAGGCTTCCTAAAATGTACAAATTAATCACTTCAATAAAAAATGATCAAACACAAATCACTTTTATGAAATTAAAACCCATTATAAATAAATAAAATGCCTAATATTGTTTCTATTTCTGTTTGAGAAATTGTTATAACCACAAAAATGCTATCTTTGAAATCTTGTTTTGCTTTGTTGCTGTTTTTTCAAGACAGGGCTTCTATGTGCAGCCTTTGCTGTCCTGGAACATTTTTCCTAATATAATCAAGTTTGCTTGTCCTCTCCAAGCAGTATAGAAAAGTACTATGGGCAAGAGCAGTAAACTGAATCATATTTTTACTTTTAATTTTTAAATCACATTTTAACTAAAAACTGTTTTAGTTTAATACTATGTAATTTCAGCTGGCTTTTATGTTAAATAAATATAAAAGCCTTCATGTTAAAAAGTCACAAAATGATGTGAATATATTCTAAGAAGGGGGGGAAAGGGCCAGAAGCTTTTCATCATTATTGCCATCACTAAAATGCAGTATACACCATGTATGGGGCTAAAGCGGCACTTCTCCAAACACAAAAACGGGTGTGCCTTTTTAACTTCTAATTATCAATAATGCTCAACGTATAATAAAGTTACAATGTATTATCAGGTTAATACAAAATTATGAGGAACCTGCTATTTAACAGCCTTTGTAGAAACTAGAGATGTAATCAGTGGTGTTGCACATGCTTACCATTTGAAAGGTGATGGGTTTAACCACCAGCACCAGGGGGTTGGAGATTTAGCTCATTAAAGTGCCAGCCTACCAAGTCAAAACAAGACCCTTGGTTTAGGACTAGTGCATACACAAAGTGGCACTAATTCCTGGCACCAAAACCAAACAAAATGAGTTGAGGAAACAGCAGCAGCAGCAACAAAAACACCTCCATCTGTTAATATTTTCCTCCATACTTTGAGACTATCCAGCTCAGAATGGTACCAATTACATAGAACCACATTTTGAGCAGGGTTTTGGGTTTTTATTTTTGTTGGGTTTTTTTGTTTGTTTTTTGTTTTTTTTCAAAACAAGGTTTCTCTGTTTTGTTTTGGAGGCTGTCCTAGAACTCGCTCTGTAGATCAGGCTGGTCTTGAACTCACAGAGATCTGCCTGCCTCTGTCTCCCTGAGTGCTGAGATTAAATGAGAGCGCTACCACGCCACCAATGCTCAGGTTTTTTTGTTTTGTTTTTGACTTGTTTAGGCATAGAGTGAAAGGATTACATGATTTAGCCAAGATTTTGCAAGTGATTAAAAACTGAGTTATGAATTTCCTACATAGAAGTATTTCTGCTGTCAATCAGACAACCTTAAATTTTCACATTACCTACGGAAATTAAACAGTAATACCAATACAAGGTAGTTAACTTGCCTGCCATAGTTCCATGCTGATAGCACTGTCCAGCTGAACAAGTCTGGTTTCCAAATGCATGGATTGACTTTCTGGATTATTAAGATTAATTGCTGTGCTTTGGTTATGGTGGCGCTGAATCTGAGATAAGTGCATTCGCAAGTTGTCACAGAGCTTGCGGAACTCAGCCTTTCGAGTATACTGGAGGCAGAATTTGAAAGCTGTAAGCATAATTGTCAAACAAGAATTAGATACTCTGTCAACTTAAACATCTGAGTTAAGTTTGATATGCCACATATTAAGATCAATTTTAACAAGATTCACTAAGCTCACCATTACTCTATGTAATGAGAGCCAGTCTTAACTCCCTTCATGAACTTGCCACCACTCTGAATCCTGAGCAAAATAAAAGACATGGTCATAAGTCCTGGCCCAATATATGGTTCTAGAAATTTAAAAAAAGGAAATGAATAGAACTTAAATTTAGGAAGAGTCAGGAGCTAGAGAGATGGACAACATCTGGCTATACCAGAGTCAAGTTAGATTCCCTATACCCACATGGCAGCTCAGGGCCAGCTGTCACTTCAGTTCTAGGGAATCCAGTGCCCTCTTCTGGCCTGTGTAGGCACCAGGCATGCACATGGTATACAGACATACGTACAGTCAAAGCACCCATACACAAAAAACAAACTATTTCAAAATAAAAAATCTATCAAAGATCTAAAAAAACAAAAATTGTTAGGTTGAAATACAAAGAACTTATATATCTAATGTACATATAATGTGACATGCTTTTGTACAGAAACATAAAAATGTATAATTACTTGCTGCATCATTAAAATGGACATCTACGCAGTATCGGAGTACTTTTTGGGACATCTTTGCTCTTATTAAAAAAATTGTATTTCACTGAGTGGTGGTGGCACATGCCTTTGATCCCAGCACTTGGGAGGCAGACACAGGTGAATCTCTGAGTTAAAGGCCAGCCTGGTCTACTAAGCAAGTTCCAGGACAATCAGGTTATACAGAGAAACCCTGTCTCAAAGTAAATAAACAAACCTTTCTATATAAGCAATTTTATTTAACCCCAACTCAGTTTTTTTTTTACCAAATCAGCAACAAGTCCAAGTTTGCTTGTGAGACATGATATAGAAGCTATATATGCAAATAAACACAGGTAACAATATTCCTCTTAAAGCAGTCATAGTAGAAAGTTACCAACACATAAAGAAATTCTGAGCCAGGTGTGTGTGTGGGGGTGAGTTTCTATATAATCCTTAGCACCTGGGAAAGTCAAGATCAACCTATCCTAACTACATAGGAGAACAGACAGACACAGAAAGAAATTCAGGTAATGATACCCTAATGTAAACTTGTTAAAAACCGAGGGGGGGGGGAAATCAAGTAGTCACTCAGTTACAAGGCTCCATGCATCACAGCAAAACAAAACAAAAACAAAACAAAAAAAAATCTAGTCCTTCAGAGTTTGTGTTGAAAAGTAACCAAGTATGAAGTAATCCATGACATCAATACTAGGCACTACTGTGTTTAGGAATGAGAAATATGGTGGGCAGAGTGGTTTATGCCTTTAATCCCAGAGGGGCAGACATATCTGAGTTCAAGGTCATCCTGTCCCAAGGGTAAGGCTATCCAAATAGAAAGGAGGGTAACAGATTTACTGGGGTGGGGGCAACAAAAAGAAGTCAGAGAGTAGGCAGTAGGAGGGTGATGATCAAGAATAAGTATAACAACATGAAACTATACCATAATGAAGTCTATCACTGTGTGCTTAACTTTTAAAAAGCAGGAGGGGGCTTCAAGAGTCAGTAAAACAATTCATATGGCAATGTATCAAGCTGTAAGATAAGTCTCTTTTTCTGTTATTTATGTAATAAAGGTCAATTTCACTAAGGATAAAACTAGTTATTTTTAAAAACTGTCTACAAATATCTAAAGTCATCTTTTCAAATCAGTCTATTAGCATTTCACATTGTTGTTTTACCTTGCTGGGCGATGTCATGGTAAAGACGCTCTACTCTAGAATTATTTCGAAGAAGGTCCAAACACTGCCTGTATGATTCCCACAGGAACTTGACCCAGGGAGTCAGTAGCAATCTGTCAGTACGATCCTGAGTATCTTCCCCGCTTACTGCACTTAAGAGAACACTACGAAGAAAAAATGGATTGAAAACTATCTTAGACAATTTTTATTATGACCTGAAAGCCCAAATCCGAGAAACTCTTCCCAAAACCTCATATATATATACTGTCAAAGCTGTCCCTCACCATTTGTATCTGAATTTTCAGTCTGTATTACAACAGTTGAACTTTTAGTGCATGTTCTATCCTAAGGTGTAAATTTTAAATATCACTTACATGGCTGAATTATACATTTTAAATTTCAAAGATAAGCATTTTTTCCTGATAACCACCTACCTTCAAGTGGGGGTGATAATGGCCCATATAAAGAAAAACACTGGCCGGGCTGGTGGCGCACGCCTTTAATCCCAGCACTCCGGAGGCAGAGGCAGGCGGATCTCTGTGAGTTCGAGGTCAGCCTGGTCTACAGAGTTAGTTCCAGGACAGCCTCCAAAACAATACAGAGAAACCCTGTCTTGAAAAACAAAAAACAAAACAACAACAACAACAACAACAACAACAACAACAACAAAAAAAACACTGCTGTGTGATGTCACACACTTTTAATCTGAGCACTTGAGAGGCAAAGGTAGGAGGATGATCTCTGTGAGTTTGAGGTCAATCTGGTCTTCAGAGTGCATTCCAGTACAACCAGAACTACACAGAGAAACTGTCTCGAAAAAAAAGCAAAAAGAAAACCAGTGTTAATAATTAAAATATTTAGCCAGGCGTTGGTGGCGCACACCTTTAATCCCAGCACTCGGGAGGCAGGGGCAGGAGGATCTCTGTGAGTTCGAGGCCTACCTGGTCTACAAGTGCGAGTTCCAGGACAGTCTCCAAAGTCACAGAGAAACCTGCCTTGAAAAACAAAACAAAAAAAGATAATAACAATAATAAAAATATTTACTAAGGGATTGAACTCACATACCTCTCAGGCGTCTGAATGTTATCCAGATCTTCTATATCTAACACCATTTGTTGGGACTCTTCTTTAGCAGCTTCGGTTTTTTCCTCTGCTAATTTCAAGTATGCCCTAACAACATCTTCTAAAGATTTAATGTTTACCTACAGGAAGGAAAAAGAATGTATTTTTCTCCAATGAACTAATTAAAAGAATGTTTAAAAAGCAAATCAAGATACAAAATTTAATTTGAAAGGTAAATTCCTCTAGAAGTTACTAACAGCACTTTAAAAATATAAAAATGAGCATAGTACCTGTTGACAAATATTCTTATATTGATATAAACCTTCCTTAGCCAAGTGGCTCTTACGAAGATCCACACACAGTTCCAAGTATTTCAACATAATTGGCTCATGTATCTTTTGCCATGTTCTGTGTTTCTTACTCTTCATAACATCATAAAGAACATCCAGGGCAGGTTGCTTTTTGCCAACCTCAAGAAATTCTGGGTGGAAAAAAATTAAGAATTAAAGTTAGTTGTGCATACTATATAAAAAAAAAATCTAAATGACTCAATAGGTAAAGGTCCTTCCTGATCCTCTAGAGTTTTATCTTTAGAACCCTTGTTAGCAGGAGAACCAACCCACTCTTGAAAACTGTTCTGACTTCCACATGCACAAATATGCAGGTCCCCTTAACTTGCACAAATAAACGTAAAAGAAAAGGTTTTTAAAAATCTAAATTTGCCTCCTTAGTGATTTAATTTTCTAACTCATTTGGCTCCTAATAGGAATCCCAAAATCATCCAACATATAATAATGAAAAATTAGTGTTATCTCAAGATATAGCGTCCATGTAGAACTCAGTGATTTTTAAAATGCTAGAAACTGAAGTAATGGATTGGGGGATATGTACCCCAGTAACTGAAAGTCTAAGTATGATTAAGATGAAGTAAAAAACAGTAGATTGTTTAAATATCTATTTTAAGACCAGTTAGCAACATTTTTTTCAGTTGGCAACATTTAAATGAGTTCATTCTTATGGAAATCTAGAAGTCTTGGAATTGGATAGAAGTGTTCCAACTTTCTCAGTTGGTATCTCTGTTCTGACATAGGTCTGAGTCTTTCCATACAAATTTTACAAATGATTACAAAACAGCTTGCAAAGATTTTGTTTGGGATTATATTGAGTAGTTATAGTTCATCTAAGTTCATCTAGTCCTATCATGTAAATGGGTCACTACACATACCACCACTTGCACACAACCTAGGTCCTAGCACCCACACGGGCAGCTCACAACAGCCTGTAACTTTCAGCTTTCTTCTGGTTGTTCCAGCATTTAACACACACACAAAATTTTCTCTCCTCTCCTCCCCTCCCCCTCTCTCCCCCCTCTCTCTCCCTCTCCCTCTCTCCCTCCCTCTCTCTCTCTCTCTCTCTCTCTCTCTCTCTCTCTCTCTCTCTCTCTCTCTCTCATCTATATAGCACTGCTCCTGCTCAAAAATAAACCTTTAAAGAAAAAGGAGCTGCTAAGCCTAGTAGCACATGCCTTTAATCCCAGCACTCAGCAAGACAGATGCAGGTAGATCTTTGAGTCCCAGGACAGCCAGAGCTACACAGAGAAATCCTGCCTCAAAAAACAAACACAAACAAAAAATAAAACCAAAAGAAACTTCTAAACAATTATCAAGAGAAACACCAACTAGGATTCAATGGTCTAAATTCAAGTGTCCTCCCAAACTTAAGAGTTGGTCTTTAAAGAGATGATTGATTCAAAGAGTTCTAGCCTCTAAATGCAACAAGTAGCTTTCATAGATAGCTTCCTTTTTGTTCTATCTATTTCATCAAGCAAGGACCACATTAATCTCCCCCTGAAACAGTAAAGGGCAAACAACCAGCTCTCACCAGACACTGAACTTGCTAGTTTATTTATTATGAACTTTTCAGAAATGAGATAAATAAATTCTTTGTATTGATTGGTAAAGTACCAAGAATATGGTATCTCATTACAACAGCACTCACAGATTATTTTAAAATAAAGACCATTCTACAAAACACAGGAGTACTTTTCAAATCTGTGATGAAAAAAAGAAAGAAAATGAAACTAGAAAAGTCTAAGACACTGACAACTAAGACACGACAATTAAATGTATGTAGTATATAGATAGGATCCTAGGGCAAAAGGTAATTGAAAAAAAGTAGAAACTTAATAATCTCAATTGTGGCCCTGGCAGTGGTGGCAGCTCATGCCTTTAGTCCCAGTACTCAGGAGGCAGAGGCAAGCCGATCTCTGGGAGTTCTAGAACAGCTAGGACTGTTCCACAGAGAAACCCTGTCTCAAAAAAAAAAAAAAAAAACAAAGTCAATTGCTAGGCAGGAATGCTGATCCATACTTTTGCTCCCAGCACCCAGAAGGCGGAGGCAGAAAGATCTGTGAGCTGGAGGCTGGTCTGGTCTACTAGCGAGTGCCAAGGCTACAAAGTAAGGCCATACATCTAAAACAAAAGAAAAATAACTTCAGTTACTGGCTCCTTGGTTATGAGTAATATACCTTATTGTTTTAGGATGTTCACTAATGGAAACAACTGGGTACAGTGAAACCTCTGTGCCACCTTTAAATGACTCTGTGAAACTAAAAACTTTAATGAATTTAAATTAAGGCTATTTTTAAAAATATAGACTATAGGGCAAATTAACATGATTTTATGAGCTTGAAGGCATTATGTGTAATTAAGTCACATTTACAAATCCAGTTGCTGTCTTAAATTTTTCTGAATTAATCTGAATTTGGGAATGTTCTGCCTTAAAGCAAGATTGTTAGCTCTGGGCTCAATCCCCAGTACCATTTTTTTTTTTATGGTTAGCATTGAGGCTGGAGGGGTGGGTGGTCAATGCTTTAGAACAAACACTTGTTGCTCTTTCAGCACTCAAGTTTTGATCCCAGGATCCACAAAGTGGCTCAAAACCATCTGTTCCAAGGGATCTGATATCCTCTCTTCTGAACTTCATGGACACCAGACATGCAGGTGTGTACACACGCACACACACGCACGCACGCACGCACGAGCACACACACACACACACACACACACACACAAGTAAAATACTCATGCACTCAGTAGGCCAAAAGCTCCTTATTTGGGAGCTTACCAGATCTACAGGTTTAATGACTAAGGTTTCAGGAATGGTGCTTTCCAATCTTCTAGTAAAATAAAACTGCTCTGGCTCTCAAACATACTAAGTTCACAAACAAAACACATAATGTATCAAAAACTAAGCATCTTTACAAAATATTCTAAGTCCTCTTACTTATCAGCAATTTTTCTCTCTGGCTGGAGTCCAAACCTAGGGCCTCATCTCTGGTATGCCAGGCAAAAGACACAACCCTAGCTCCACCCGTTACAGTATCAAATGGTACATGCAGACAAGTATAAACTCAACATTATGTGGGAAAGACTCTTCATTTCAGGCATAGCGCCACCCCAAAATCTTACTATATGAAACAAGCACCTACAGTTAGATATGATATTGGAACCAAAAAGTCTTAAGTACTATCCTGTTTCTGAAATGTGCCTACGGTTGTTTTCCACGTTACTTTAAGTGTTTTCCATATCAATTTAACTAAAATTCCTATCAACAACAACAAAAAACTTACTAGTAAATGAATTTAGTCATTTTATGCAGCAGGACTGGGGAGATGGCTCAGCAGTTTAGAACCCTGGCTGCTCTTCAAGGACCTGTGTTCTATTCCCAACGCCTACACAGAAGCTCACATAATCTATAACTGCAGTTCCAGCTGATCCAACACTCTTCCTGACACCCCCTTCTGACTTTCAATAGGGCACTACTTGCACAAAGTGCATAGACATTGCATGCAGGCAAAACACACATACATCTAAAATAAAATTAAATACAAATTGTAATGTAAAGCAACATTAAAATAACATTATGCCCATTTACATAACTCCCAATTTTAACACTAAGGATTTAAAATTTCAAACTCTTTTTTTTTTTTTTTTTTTTGGTTTTTTCGAGACAGGGTTTCTCTGTGGCTTTGGAGGCTGTCCTGGAACTCGCTCGGTAGACCAGGCTGGTCTCGAACTCACAGAGATCCGCCTGCCTCTGCCTCCCGAGTGCTGGGATTAAAGGCGTGCGCCACCAACGCCCGGCTAAAATTTCAAACTCTTAATGTTTACAATATGTAATTCAAATCAAGTTAAACTTGAGAACTGAACCCATGATAAAATAAAATATAAAACACTGGAAATATAATCCATATTCCCAATGAGACTGTGGTTTCTTTACTTTTTAAAAAATACTAGTTGTTTTATCATTTTATGTGTATGAAGTGTTTTACTTTCTTTTGCCCCACAAGCATGCTTTTGTATGTCAGAAAAGAACATATCACCTTCAACTGGAGTTACAGTTAGTTGGTAGAGTGGTTTCTTAGTGTCATGCTTAGAAGATTCATGTGGTAGAATCAAATCTCTATCATTAGCACTGAAGGAGGTTGAAGCACCAGCATCAAGTTTGAGGACAACCTAGGCTACCTAATAAGACTGGCAGTCAAACAAGAACCCTACAAAAATAAACCTTTAACGATTAAGTCTGGGTTCAAAACTCATCCTTTCTAACTCTGAAAGTCTCAAACTAAAGGAAGCACACTTACATATAAAATATTTTACTGGGTGTGATGGAGCATGCCTGTAAATTAACCCCAGAACTCTGGTGGATTCAAAACAGCCAGGTCTACATAAGAGACCCTGTCTCAAAACATACAAAATTATGGACAGAAACCCCTACCACCCCTCCATAAGAAGAAAAATATGGGGGGGATAGATATTTTTAAACAAATCTGAAATTGGAACAAACTTCATGATGATTGAGTCATGCTTACTCTAACTCACATGCATGGAGACTTAGCTCCTTGCAATTGCCTAGTTAATGGGGTGGGAAGGCTTTTGAGGTTAGAAGGATTTCAACACTTAAATGATTTCAAGATTTAAGAAACTGAAATGCAGAATTATTCTAGAATAAGTGTAGAATCCTTAGGAAATGGTTCACATCAACCCTTCATTTTTCACTAGTCTGTACAACAGATTAAGTATCTAAAATATAATGTTAATATTCAGTTGTGGGACTTCAACTATCTCTCAAAGCAGGAGTTGTAGGGTATGAGTGTAAAGTGAAAGGCTGTGCCATTTTTCCCTCAAAATTACTGCTTAGGGTGACGTGCAGGGCTGTTTTATTTAATTTTATTAAAATAATTCAGTAGAAGCTGGGTGGTGGTGGTGCACCCCTTTAATCCCAGCACTCGGGAGGCAGAGGCAGGCGGATCTCCGTGAGTTCAAGGCCCGGCTGGACCGATAGCCTCCAAAACAATACAGAGAAACCCTGTCTCGTAAAAACCAAAAAATAATAATAATAATAATTCAGTAGACTAGATCTAAATATCCCTAGCGTTACAGATGCTACAAATAAGACGCTTAGGTAAACAAGATTTCTAAGATGTGAAAAGCCTTAATGTTCTATAAACAGTGCTATGTGTGATAGACAATCTGCTCTTGTCAAGTCCCTAGGAAGTTAAGGTATCACTACCTGCTACTTCAGATAATGTAATGGAGCTACAGAAATAAGTCAATACAGGCCTTTGGAAAAATATACCAATATGATCCGTTACCCATACAGTACTTTGCTGATAGTTTTCTCAACTTGCTCGTCATTAATCAAGTCTATTTCAACTGAGAAACAGTGAGTGAAAAGCAAATTTAGAACACATTATGTAACCTTCCTACTTTAAAAGTTTATTGAGCTATTAAGTCCATATGAAGATTTCAAACAGCAGAAAAACAAGGTCAGCATGTTACTATGTATATATGTAGGCCAAAGACTGTAGTGCTTTAAGTAGACAGCTATGGGGGAGGGGGGGATGCCCACTGGTGAACACTTTAAGTTAAACACAGACACAACAGCTAGCTATACCTAGTAAGTCCATCCAATTCTTTTCTACAGCACAATACAATTTTAAGTAAAACGTCCAAAGTTCTAACTTAGCTACAGTTCTGATTGGTTAGTTATCAGCAACTTGCAGTTTTATTAAGTTCTAAAATACAAATCCGAGGTGCATAACTATTGCAGATTGCTCCCTAAACACACACACAGAAAAAAAAATCACATTTCAGAAGTATGTAACCAACACATCTTTATTCCTGACAGATTATCATCAATGTTCCTTTCTAAGTACCGACTCAAATGGCCTTTTGACTTCCAGTTCTAACAAATTGGGTTTATCTGCTTGGACTGAGGGAGTTAAAAGGGAAAGTTACACAATTATTAGGACTTTTTAAAGATCAGAGGTGTACACAGGACTTTTCCATCTCACAATGTCAAACTGGAGAGCTCAGGACATGGCTTTCCTGCAAGCTCCAAGGCTTAAGCACTCATGTGGAAATAGAAATAGTTGTCGGTGGCGCTGCGGTAAAATGGGGGGGGGGGGTTTAAAAAAAAAACCTGATCTGGATATCAAGAGAGGTTTCTATTCTAGTTTCCCGACACTTCCAAGTGACCTTGGGGAAACAACTCTTTCTAGAGGTTTATCTGGGAAGAAGCATTTTTAAATCCCTAAAGAATATTAACTTTTTGTGATTCAGAACAGGCTTTTAGAACTGACCCTAATCAATACAGGGTGTGGGGGGGGAGGTCGACCCACAGGAAACAAGTTAATGATCAGAGGAATGAAGTGCAAACCAGCGACTATGTGTAAGGGAAGTGGACCCTGACCCAGCAGGCCTCCGCGTGGGATCTGGGGTCAGACGAGCCTGAGAGGTGGGGTGGAGGTAAACTAGCCGGGTTCCCGGCCCCGACGGGAGGTGGAGCCGAGGTTCTCGCGTGCATTGTCCCGGGAGGGAGCCATGTTTCCTCCTCCCCGGCACTCCCAGATGGCGGTAGGGAGCGCGGGGCTTCCCAAGCAGCCCGCGGGTCTGAAGAGCCGGCGGGAGGCCCATCGAGGGGAAGGATCGCAGGGCGGGAGAGGCCTGACTCCCGGGCCGCAGGCCTGCGACGCAAGCACCGGGCGGCAGACGGGGAAGACAGGCCGGGGCGACGGTTCCTGATCCGCGCTTTCCGCCGCGGGAGCCCGCTTGAGCGGGGGAGGCCGTGCCGAGACACCGCCGGGGTGGCGGCGGCCGTCATCGCTGGCCTCCACAGCCCGGGCTGCGGGGAGCAGGCCGGGGCCCTCGATCTCCCGAGCCTCGGGCCGGCCCTGTACGACGCGACCTGCTGCCTTACTCACCGTTGGCGCGCTTGAGGGCATTTTCCGGCCTCTGGAAATAGGCCGGCATCTTGGCGGTAGGCTCGGCTCACCCGGCGTCAGCGAACTCCCTAGTGGCCCGGACCGGGAGAGGAGGCGGAGGGGGGACTAGCGCGAGCTTCCACGCGCCTCGCCAGCAGTCGCCCGCGCCCAGCCGGCCAGAGACGGAAAGGAAGGAGCCACGTGATTGCCTTGCGGCGGCACCGCCGCCGCCCGAGCCCCGGATGTAGGGGGCGGACCTCTGCGCATGCTCCGACTTTCCTCCGCGCGCAGGCGCGCTGGTGTCTTGAGCCAGGGTTGACGTGGCGGCGGCTAGCGGGTGGCGCGAATTGTTGTGTGCCTCTTTGGGGGCGTGGGAGAGGACCCTAGAGACAGTTTCCTCCTGACAGCGGTGCTCCAACGAACGTAGGGTGGGGAAGGGGAAATCTCGGTCATGTCTACGACGAGAAAAAACTATGTTTACACAATCGTTTCCAAAAAGGAGTGGCGCGTGGGCAGGCCGTATTTTAGGATAAGGTCACTTTGGCTACGCGGGGACCTCGCCTGACAGGAAAGGCTGTTTGTTTTTGTTTCCGGACACTGTTGTGTAGCCCTGGCTGGGCTGGATCTCACTTTGTAAACCAGGCTAGCCGCCTGCCTCTACCTGCCGAGTGCTGGGAACTAATGGCGTGTGCTACCGCCGCCCGCCCGGCCGAATGTGCTTAAAGGAAGTGCTGATCAGGTATCGCAGGCCAATGGTACTCATGGCGGGGAAATAATCGCCTGAGTGACACGGAAGGGGAGGGGAGCACGCTAATAATAAGCTGAGTTATTTGGTATCCTTGTGGGGTTAGTGTCTTAAGGATTCCCGAGAGAAGACGAGCGAGGGCAGAGCCACCTCATATAAGGAGAAGGCCTTGGAACATAGCAGATTTGTATGTTTGAAAATACGCAAGTGTCTTCGATTTTTACATACAGCCCACGTCACAAACAAAAGAAATGTGTGTTGGTGAAGAAAAGGTTTATTGCAAGCCGTGTCTTTTATTGCTGACTAAGAAATTTAGTGTGCATAGATTAATTACTATGCTTAGAGCTTGAAAGCCATTTAAACTGCGTCGAATTATTAAGCTCTTGGTAGGAAATAGCTTGAGTTCAGGGCTGCTCTTGGTAGGAAATAGCTTGATTTGAGGGCTGAGGATGTACAGTGGCAGAGCATTTACCTAGCATGTACAAGGTCCTCGGCTCAATCCCTAGCACCACACAAAGAAAAGGTTCACAAAAAAAGGTGGAATAAACTATTGCAAGTTTATTACAGATTTTACAATAGTAGATCGGGGATATGTGAATTAATGAGATACTGTATCGATGAATGAGCGAACCCACAGTACATGCCGTAAAACCATTTCTTATTTATGTCTCCACAATGAGGTATTTCCGTGTAATGCAGTGATGGGCAAAAAAAAAAAAATCACAATTTCTTTTCAAAAACAAAAACCCGGCAGTGGTGGCACACAGCTTTGATCTCAGCACTTGGGAGGCAGAGGCACGCAGTTGTCTGTGAGTTCGAGGTCAGCCTGGTCTACAGTGTGAGTTCCAGGACAGCCAAGGCTACACACACACACACACACACAGAATGAGAGAGAGAGAGAGAGAGAGAGAGAGAGAGAGAGAGAGAGAGAGAGAGAGAGAGAGAGAGAGAGAGAGAGAGTGAGCCTTTAATCCCAGCAGAGGAGGCAGAGGCAAGCTCTGAGTTTGAGGCCAGCCGGGGCTACACAGAGAAACTGTTTCTCAAATAAGGTATGAAGAGATGGCTTAACCTTTAAAAAGGTTACTAATCTTGCAGGGCACTTTAGTTCAGTTCCCAGCACCCATATCAGGCTCCTCATAACCACCCATAACTCTAGTTCCAGGGAAATCCATCACCTCTGGTCTCTCCACTCGACGACACAGACAAAAACAAAACTTTTTTTTAAATATGTGTAAGTTGATTTCAAGAGTTCTTACTCCAGAATGCTTAGACCATGCCAAATGCACGAGCTTTCACCTTCCAAAGCAAATACCAGGCAGGGCTGGTGTAAAGGAACAGCAAGTACTAAGAAGCTTTAGCAACTGTTTTATTAGCGTGATCAAGGGATTTCTTTGTGTATATTATAATTAAGTCAAAATTTAAAAGCCAAACATAAAAAGCAAATAGTTCTTTCATGAAGTTTTTATTACATAAAAATTACTTCATAGGCTAAAGGAAGATGCAAACAATAAAAGGAAACTTGGCCTAAATATCAGAAGATGCTTATCATATTGGAAAATAATAAAAACAAATAGGAGTGGAGAAATAGCTCAGCAGTTAAAAGAACTTGTTGCTCCTGAGGAGGATCCAGGTTTGATTCCAAGCATCCACATGGTGGTTTACAACCATCCATCCATAACTCCCATTCCCAGGGTATCTGCACACACCTGGTACACATATGTACATAAAAGCAAAATACTCATACACATAAATCTAAAATTATTTAAAAGGTAAATGGGTCCAGCATTGATAATTTTGTAGGCCCACAGTCAGATGAATACTAGAAAATTAAAAGATGTACTGAAATCAATATCCCTCATATTGACAATTTTCCCTTTTACATTGTTTAAAGCATATGAAACATTGGTGATATAATAGCCAATGATCATTTAAGTGCATTAAGCAAAATCAGTCAAATTAGTTATATATGGTGGCTGGTATCTGTAGTCCCAGGCACTCAAAGCCTAAAGCAGAAGGATTGCTTGAACCTAGATAGGAGTTCAAGACCAACTGGGTAGCATACAAGACACCTTCTCCAACAATTTAATAGAGTCTGGTACTGTTTGTTAATGAAAGCAATAATATTGATTACCAGGGTAAATACATTCCCAGGTTTTGAGTACCAGCTAGCAGCCATAATGTTGAGTGGTAGAGAAAAGATACCCAATGCCTCCTCTCAAAGGATTAATGATTCCCTGTTTTGTTTTGTTTTTTTAAAAAATAGATGTTTATACAATGAGAATTAAGATAGGGTCTGATTGGACCAGAAGAGAAATATAATTACCTGCTGATTAATACTCATTTAGCAGGAAACAAACAACTTGAAGATATGTTTAAAATCATTCAGGCATTGTCAAAATTGATTATTTTTTCCTTGTCAAGTTACTTTTGTACTTCCTAGCATAATTTCTCTAATATGATGTAGGGAATTTTTTAACATAATTTATTTTTAATAATTCTTTGGGAATTTCACATCATGCACTCCAATCCTACTCATATCCCAGTCCTTCCATGTCTACTCTCTACCTTTGTAACCTCTTCCTCACAAGAAAATATAAATAAGTAAATAAATAAGAAAACAAACAAAAACAATTTGCTCCTCCATCTTTCTGGCTCTCTATGACATATTCATTTGTCATAGTAGCATCAGGAGATGTAGTTTGTTACACAGTATACCCTTTAACCCAAATAGTTTTACTTGCAAATGTTCATTGCAATGAGTTGCTGGTCTGGTTCAAGGCCTCTGGCTTCTGGTATACCATTAAAACTGGGCTCTCACCAAAACTTCTCTCGGATACCCAGCTGTTGCTCCAAATTATAGAAACCCTGGGGTTGTGGTTCTTCAGGACCTGTGTAATGAATGATTTTGAGGGTGGTTTTGTTGTTCTCTTTTATTTTGCTTTTGAGATAGGATGTCACTATGCAATGAAAAGATTCCAAGCTGGCTTGGAATTTTCAATTCTGCCACTTTAACCTGCAGTGAGCTCGAACTACAGGCATGTACCACCATGCCTAGAATTACATTTATCATTTTATTTAAAAGAATATGGCAATGTGCTTATAAACAGTGATTCACAGCAATGTACTCTTTCAACAAACCTTTATCAAGTACGTACCATGCACATTTCTGATAGGTGTACGAGTCACAACAGTAAACAGAATAGTCTTGCTTTCTACCTCAGTGGACTTTGCAGTCATAGGAAGAAGTCATAGTTCAAACACACCATAAGGTTTGTGAGGAGAGACACCACTGCAGTACAACATCTCTCCAGGCCCACACACTATGTCTTTCAGTACTCTCAAAGGCCCTCCCCAACTCCTGTCATCACCTCCCTAGAAGCCAGTCATTCCTTTTAATTTTGTTTTATTTTATTTTTGAAACAGTCTCACTATGTAGTCCTGTCTGGCCAGAAACAGAGATCCACCCACCTCTGTCTCATAAATTCTGAGATTAAAGGCCCCCACCCACCCAATCCCTGGCCTCTTTCCTTGCTTTTGAAACTAACCTTTATATTCAGGTTTTGCTTAAGGATCACTTCCTGCAGGGATCTTCCTTGGCACCAGATTAGGTTAGATGCCAAAATATCAAACATTAGCTAGGCTTGGTGGCATATGCCTTTAATGTCAGCACTCAGAAGGCAGAGGCGGACATATCTCTGGGAGTTTCAAGACAGCTTGGTGTATAAACTAAATTTCAGGACAGCCAGGGCTACAAAGAGAGACCATGTTAATATATTGAATGTTAATTCAATGTTAATATATTGAATATTAATAACAAACTGTCTTATTCCTTATTATACTTAAGAGTGGAGAAGGCCTAAGATATTGGATTGTTCACCGATGTATCTGAACACGTGACAGAACAAAGCGTGAGAGATTAACAAGTGAGTATTTAAATAAATATTTAATACAGCTGCTTCCAGCTCTATCTGTAGGGAAGAGCAAGTTTAGAAGCCCAGTATGTATCACCCTTAGTTCTTAGCACACCTGTCCATCTACTTCTGATTTCCCATTTGCTTAAGCAGAAGAACACAAATATGAAAGTGTTCTCTGCCCAAAACTGCTGGTTGCACTGTTTCTGAGCCTGTAACTCCATGCAATCCAATGGTGATTTTTCTGAATGTCCAAAGATTCGTGGTGACCAACCCCCCTAACACAATACTTAAAGTTCTAGCTCAGAGCTTCCACTACCAAAGCTTCCTTGACTGTAGGGCATCTTAGCTGTCCCAGCCCCTGTGTTCTTTGCCCATAACACCATGAAGTCTATCACTGGACCCATCTTTCTGGCCACTATGACAATCTTGCAGCCCTCTCAAAGGGATGACTAAATGTGTCTTTCAGTCTGCTGGCCCCCAGAAGGGAGATGAGAGACCAACTACTACTTCCCAGTAACTACTCCCAAAGCATTCTCTCTCAG